TATAACTATACGTAAAATATTACTATACGTACTATACGTACTATACGTACTATATTATAAAATTTCATGCGTAGTACCTTATTGTGTTATTACATATGGTTATAATTATGGTTCCTTTTTAGATTCACGAGTGTTAAAAAATAATAATACAATAAAAAACATGATAGACAACGCGAAAATTGTTTTTTCGCCATCAAATGTTTCAACAAATGTGCTAACCGAGACCGAGATCGAGTCTTTCACGATGGAAGGTAAATTATTTTTCATTTGTAAACATTTGTGACATTTTATTAGTATTTTATCTTATATTTCAGGCAACTTCAGATTGGACGAAAACGCTATCATAATTAATAATGAAGTTCCTAATTGTAATGTTTAGAGAGATCCGGATTCTGATAATATTGATCAGCAACAGTGTAAATGCTGTCCACAGCATAAACAAAATGCTACCGGTACGTATTATCATTTAAGTGAAACCTTATATATTACTATAACAAAAATAATAGAACAAATATTACGAAGGATATAAAAATATTTTTGTTATTTATTTAGTTGAAAACGCTGAAAAAATTGATTTTTCAGATAAATATTTAAAAGAAATACTTCGTCAGCAACATTTGTTCAAAGCGCATTTATGGCAGATGAATGATGATATGAAGCACCTGCAGAGATCTTTCAATGAGACAGTTCGAGGACGTAATATAAATCTCAATATAAATGAAGATTCGATCTTAAATAAATTCGAATTTCCGCTAAATTCGACAGATGATTTGGAACAACTTCTCAACAATTATTTGTTGATAGAAAGCAATTTTAAATCCACGGTACGTATTATATTGATATTAGCGGATGTAACAATTCCAGGCAATAGCAATCATCGAGTTTTCATCTATATTTTTTGTAAAAAGCAAATCCCTGACTTATCTTTAAAGTGTTAGGTCGATATTACATTTGTCATACGATAATTTTAAAGTCTATTGATTGGTTATAGAATAGAAAAGTTCTGGAGACCCGAAAATTTCTCTACTTTGCAGCCAATAAATAGGTTTAAAACGTTTGTCGTACGACAAATGTAATACTGGCCTTAATATTTTTGTTAATTATTTGTCTTATTTATCTCTTATATTTATCTCTTTCTAATATATATTTTATTTTTATTTATGTCTACCTTTTATATCGCTATTTCGTTCTCCGAAAACCTATTTGAGCCATATTATAAATATAAAAAGCATTGCGTGAACGTCTAATTTACATATTATTTTTATATTTTTATTTGAGGTTGCAGAAATGTCCAAGATTGGTGGCAGCTCAATTTATGATTTTGTCAAACGAGCTTTGCAATTATTAATGACTAATGAGCTCGCATCTCAATATAGCTGGTTTGGAGCGAGAAAGAAGAAAGTTTTCAATAAACTTAAAATTGCAGATATGTTGATCGGTAAGTTATAATTATTTTTTTGCAAGATATAAGCGGTGACAATGGAAACGATTAGGAATAATATATTGCTTAGAAATAAATCTCTATTGTATTATTGATGGGTTTGTATTATAAAAATATAGATTACTATTAAAATAATATATAATTGCTTATTGCAATAACCATCACTTTTTTTATTCAAGATTTTAATTGTTAAAAATTTGCTTTTTTAGAGTCTAAATACATTGAGTGTGATTAGGTTGTTTTCTATTTGTATTCTTTTTTTACAGCTTCAGCCCAAATATCTCAACCAGATTGTTCGAAGAAGGAATGTGAAGAAGCTATTAAAAAATGGCTATTAAAAAATGGCTTAGAAGAGCAAAAGAGCGCGACGATAATTAAAAAAAATACCTTCAGGATAATTAAGGTCTTTAAGTTATTTGCAAACTTTTTTCTGTTTTGCTCCAAGCAAACTTAGATGCGAGCATTAGTCATTTATAATAATTGTTTTTAATTTAACAATCTCGGTTTGAAGGTGCTTTCTAAAAGACTGTGATGTAACTAAGTCGGATTCTAAAAAATTACTTTTTTTGAAGATTAATATATACTTATATATACTCTAGTATTTAGATATTTTACATACACACACACGCACACGCACGCACGCACGCACGCACGCACGCACGCACACACACACACACGCACGCA